TTCTTGATCGCATTACTGTTAGACAAAAGAATTTAATGAAGTCGCAAATTCGTGGCAACATCTATGGTTTTATAGTTTAACTAAATTCCCTTAACTAGTTTCAATTTCTCAAGTCGTTTTGTTTCAATTTTTAGTTACGTAATGTTTCACCTAACGACGATTTTTCACGCTTTGACCTTGTGTCTCACTCGCTCGAAGAGTATATTTCCATTCGTTTCCCGATGACATTTTTTCCAATGAGACTCATGAATAATCCATATTGCAAGAAAAGTGTTAAATCAAGCAGTAATGACTTCTTGGAATCTTCAAGAAGTGGCTTCTATTTAAAAGCACGAAAGTGTCCTCTGATTCGTCGATCACGTAGAAAAAAAAAAATCTTATGATTATGTATTATCACTCGAGAAAGAAAATAAAACTGACGAGAGAAAAAAATTGATCGTAAAGTAATTATAAATTTCGAGTTGCATAACTCAAATACTTAAAATGATGTTGAAATTTAACCTACTTGTCTCGAAATGAATGATGAAGAAACAATTCTCGTCTCTTAGTAATAATTCATAGCCATGAAGTTGTAATAATTTATTGTTAAATGAACAATAATTAATAATAATAAATGATTAATAAATAGTAATAATAAATTTGCCGTTAAATAATCGTATAAATAAATTGTACGAATGTAACAATAATAATTGTAGATGAAAATTAAAATATAATTATTATAATTTGGTCGTAGTTGGTATAAAGTTTCATAATTAATATTATTACTATGAAAAGTATAATATTTTTAATATTTTTTTAATATTATTATAATAATAATTATACCTAGATTTTACAATTGTATAAAATTAAAAAAGAATTCAAGCATCGGTAACTAGATCGCGGATTTTTTTGCATTTATGTGCATTTCAATTTTAAAGTTCTCTATCTATCTAGCAAATCTAGATAGATAGGAATTTTAATGTGTACTAGAATTGTTAACACGTTTTCTCTATATAAAATTCTATCTCTAAGAACACAAATCTGCATAAAAATCTACAAGCGAATTAAAATTTCAATTATTAAAATTTTAATTACTTCTTGCAAAGATACGCCCAACAGATTCAGAAAAGCTATCTAGTTCTCAAGTATTCTTCCACTACTCAAATACATACTTCCGCCATCACTGGTCTATCTCGTCTACGAATGCAAACACAGTTTTGTTAAAATAAGCTTTGACTCTGCGGTTCTAGTTTTCACGGCTTCAGCCTCAAAGATTTCAGCGTTGAACTGTAAAAGCTGAAGTCCTTAACGCTCGAGCTCTTGAACTCAGAGACTCGGAGCTGTCTAAATGTCTGTAGAAAGTCTGTTGCATTGAATGACGATTCTAAACAATGTTGTAGATTGTCAAATATTACAAATATGTTGACGATAATGACGTATATTACTCGCGAAAAACCTTAAAAGACCTCTGTGTGTTAAATTTTAAAGATTCGAAAGCTCGAGCTCTATCTTTAAAGTTTACTTGTGAAACTTCGAGGATTCGAGCTTTATACAGAGGTTAGACAAAATAATGGAAACACCTCGTGTATAAGATACGTATTGCGTTGAGATTATGTTTTGTCTTGAATCCAAGGACTATTTAAATATGCCCATTATTTTGGGCAATCAACTTTGCTCAATGATCATTATTTCCGGAATTTTTCAAGACAGCTGCGATAAAAATCTTGATTTAAGCAACATGAAAATGAAGTTGAACATCTTTCCTAGCCGCCAGAATATTATTGGCCATTACTGAATGTTATGCAGCTATGGTCTATTCTCGGAAACGAAGTTTTGTAGAAACAGATTCACTTAAAGTTCTGCAAGGAAACTGACCTGAAAAGAGCTTGAGAAGGTATTACGTGAGGAATGGCGTAATATCCCATTAAATGTCATTTGTACGAGTCTGTTTTAGTTATCATTTAAAAAAATTAAAAATATAATAAAAAAATATTAATCTCAAAAAATTATTATATTAGAAATTTTTTTTATCGACTGAGAAAATATTTATAAACTATTATTCTTTATTAAAGAAATATTATAAATATTAAAGAAGATATTTCTAAACATATTAAATCGTGATGGAAATTAATCAATAATTATTAGGAAAAATAAGCAATGGTATAAAAGTAAATATTCAATTAAATTGAAATTTAAAAAGAAATAAATGAATTTAGATTAACCGAGAAGAATTCAAGGCCAATGGCGGTCCTACGCGTTATTAATAAAAAATATTCCAAGTAAACGAGCTATTCTCGTCATTTTCTCCAACCTCTAGATATTGCTAAATGCAAATAAGGAAGATCGCGCGAAACCAGGCGAGACTACTTTCCAAAATTCCCTGAAAACAGCGACAGAGGCTTTGTATTATAACAACATGATCCACAAAATTGAAAAAAGGCTGTCAACTTTTTTTAACTGACTCTGTTCGATCTAGAGTTAGGTCTAGTTAGCTGATGCGCCTTTCGCTCGTGACACTTTGATAATTTTCCCACGCGTGAATCTTGATTTTCAGACTCGGTCGTTATAGAATCATTGACGAGGTCTCTGCGCGAAGCAGAGCCGATATTTATACTTATTGTTAGTTACTTGAATAACTTGGAGACCCATAGTCTCTAGTCCCACCGATCCTACCAAACTGGCGCGTTGAAATAGCCGCGCGTTTCTCTTTTCGGAATTCAACGAGACTCCCCACCGCGACAAGTTGCATCGATGATGATCTCTGCCTGTCGGTTTCGAAAAAACACACGCGGGAATGATTCACCTCTCACGCACGTTCGTCGTCTATCGGTGTTGTCCAGCGCATTATAATGCGGACGGAACGAGCGGATAGCGCGCGCGTTGGAACAATGGCCACTTAAGCCAACTGGCTGATTAAATGCTCACCTCAGTCACCGCGGATGCACGATTAAATATGGTGCTCTCACCATGGACACCGTGCTCGTTTTGCTCGATCAGCCGCGACGGGGAAACGTTTTCTCGCCTCCTCTCTCGACGATGTACAGAGGCTCGCTTAAATGGACGCGTAATTAAGTTCCCGTTCGCGATTTTACGTGATCTCTGATCTGTCTTACGAACTATGGAGTGCGACTCGTTTTAATCCGTGACGACGTGCAGTTACCTTTTTTTTTTTTTAGTCGATGAGTGAACGAAAGAAGACCGGAGGTTCATTCTTAAAAATAATAATTTTTATTAACTAGATTTGTATTTCTGGGGATGTACTTTTTTTTTTTTTGTATCTTTGTACTGTAAGGATATAAAATGATTTGTAACCTTCTGATTTGTAAATATTAATCTTGTCTCATAATCTCAGATTCTAAACAAGTTCGAAAATTCCCAAGTTAATTCCAGTCTTTCCAAATTTTAAAAATTGGTCTTTGTTATTCGAGCTCTGAATTAAAAATGAAGGCTCGAAAATACGAAAAATCAACTCCAATTGTGAATAATACTCTTCAAAAAAGATCACGAGATAATTGCAAGGAAAGAGATCAGATAAACATCAAGATATTATTCTATGTAAAATAAATGTACCAGATAAATATTTTGTATAATATTTATTATTTATTTATAATATTTATATTTATAATATTTATTAATAAATTCAAACAAACATTCCTGTTAAATTCCATGAAATTTCCACAAAATTTACAATGTGAGAAAATACAAAACCCAGGCAGTCACCTCGGAGGGCTGTTGTTTCTGCAATTAAAAGAACTTATCGGAACTGAACGCCACGTTTGCCAGAAAACCAGCTCCGGATATCTGGTTCCTCGAGCAACGACCGTGTACAGATTCGTTTCGTCGTGGGGGACTCGGCTCGAGAGCATGTGGTTCCAGCGTTGATTTCGTCTTTGAGACACACGATAGTCTAGCACTTTTTCTTTCTCCCTTCGTTGCGCTCGCGTATCGGTTGGCGATACGTATACGTCGTGTTGCATGTCAACGCACAAGGACTGCACGCGAACGCTTCTTACATGATGTAACAGTATCACGTTTGATTAGCGCTTGTCGCCAGAGCAAGTGCATCAAGATTTTCGGGAAGATTTAGCCGACTTTGGCTATTTTTCGTCGCTTGTACATCGGAGCATCACCGATTTTATTTAATTGGGTATTTAATTTCTAAGAAGTTAGCTCGGAGCAGAGCTTCGTTCATCGAAAGAAAAATTTTAATTGTCGTTGAATGAATATTTGTTGACCGAGTCTTTATCTATAAACGATGAAACTTGTAAAATTATGGCTCTCGAGTTTCCAGTTGCTTTTTTTTTTGTTATTTAATGCAATTGCAGCTCAATTTATTCGACATATTTTCAATCATCAATTTATCAATTTATAAATTTATTTTTAAAGACACTCGCAACGAGGAACTCGCAATTTTTAGACTAAATAAAACGTAATAGTGTTTCTCCATTTCTGTTTGCGACAATGATGGTAGCAACGTAGAATTTAAAGGCCTCGTCGACACAACGCGGATATCTGCCTAATGAATATTTCATTCGTATATTATACGCAAACTGTATTTGGTCATCGCAAACAAAACTGCAAGATTGGTTTAATAAGTCCTTGGCTTAGTTTCCGGAGATTAGGCGTGGAACGCGGCCTGTGATTAAGACGTTGACCTTATTCGCAGAGGGAAATGGAATGACAAGGAGAAATAATATATACTGTCTGATTGATAAATTCTACTTGTATTGGAATCTTTAAATTTCCACGATTTCATTTCAAAAAAAGTTGTTATTCAAAAAAAAAAAAAAAAAAATATTCAATTGTAAAATTCCCTCGTCAATTGTAAAATTTCTTTGCCCATCTATAATACAATACAAGAAGGACTTAAAGACAACAGCGTAGAAAAGTTAAAATGTTCAAAATAATCCCCTCTTTCTAATTCACTGTGGAACAACGCGTGTTACTCGCGTTTAAAAAAACACGAACACGTTCGTGCAAGTGAGAAAAGTGTGCTCAAAACGATTTCGTGTCGTTTGCAGGTTCGCAGAGGCCACCGCGGGAGTTGCGATGCCAACGTATCATAATGCGGGTGGCGGATACCCGAATGTGTCAGCGCCAGCGCGGCAAGCGAAGCTCGATGGCAATCAAAATCACCATACGATCCCCTCAAACGTAACGTCCCATCCCCTTATACAAAATAGCACGCAACACAACGTTCCTTCCAATTTGTCTGCAAGCAACATTCCGTCCCATCCAGTATCACCGACGATGACTACGCATTCGAACGTCACCTCTCCTAATATAACCAGTCACATGAACACCGGCTCACCACCAGTAATCCTCACCTCGAACGTCACCAATCCTGGCAATCCTGCTGCGTTATCGGTGAATCCGAGGCACGAGGTCAAACTCAACGCTATGCCGTACGTATCTGCTTCTTGCACCCCTGCGCGACTACGCCGATCCGCGACTACGAACGACCGGATGATCGATTCAGTTTCACGTTTCAGCCATTGGCTATTTTTAGCTACTAGCTAATTTTAAATTAATAATTGAATCTTTCTTTTTTTTTTTTTTGAAAGCGACACAAGTCCAATTTTGAAAAAAAAAAGAGTTTTAGTTTTAGTCACTTCGCGTTTATGGTAACAAAGTCAATGCTGTGCAATTAAATGTTATGTATCGTAAAAATGTTTCTTTTCGATATAATGGGATATGTCCATTTGCAATAAGTAACAACTAGTAACTGTACAATCGTGTTAATTGTTAATTGTGTAGTGTTTGGGACGATTGCAACGTAACAAGAGAAATAATTCTTTCACGTGAAATGAAACGACACATAAAACGAAGGAGAAGTTATACACTGGATTCAAAAGGGATGAAACCTTCCCTTAGTTCTGGATTTATTTGGAAAACAAGGAAGGCCAAAGTGCTTCAGCAAAATGACTTTGTTACCATTTGAACACCTACAACAAGAGATAAATATGTATAAGTTTTATTATAAATTTTTTTCATCATATAACTGCAAATATTTCTCCTTTCACAGAATCAATTTCACGTTTACTTGTCTTCATTTTAATTATTATTTTTTATAACACATTTCAGAAAAATTTCAATTAAAATATAAATTCAAAATAGATGTTCGTGTTTTTGCAAATTTGTTATTATTGAAAATTAGCATAAGCCCATTTGTAGTTAAAAAAAAAATCTTTCATTGTTTTTAAACAATATTATTACATAATGAAATTTAATATATTTGCCAATATTTTACAATTAATTCAAACCCTTAAATGTCTTAATATATAAACAAATGGACTTATACTATTTAAAAAAAATAGAAGAGCGGCTAAATTGTACCATGCGTTGATGATCATTATCTTGTGTAACTTTTCTTTTATAAAACATTTACTTAACATTTGTTCCTTGTGTCTGCTAGTAGAACAAACTGGCGAAATTTGGTCGTTCAAAACTGAGACTACACTCTGTGTAAATTGTTCGTATATAAGGTATACAGTGGCTACAAAAAGTATATTTCCACACTGACGTGTATATATCACAGCATCCAGGATGCTAATGAGTTACGTCCAAATGTCGCCGATTTCTTGTAGTATTGTTTCTTGTAGCCACGTGTACAGACAACGATCATCCTTGTTACAAACTGTCCAAACTGTCCCGAATTAACAGCATCTCACTTCTTCAGCCAAGTTCTTCTTCGCAAGAACGTCAATTTGCATAAATACTCGCTGGTCTGTCGGATGTGTCAGATGGGCCGCCAGAATAAACTCTAGCAATAGTTCACGAGCGATAGATTATCCAACGTGCATTTGCAGATGGTTCCACGGGAAGATATCGAGGGAAACTGCCGAACGATTGTTGCGGCCGCGCGAGGACGGCCTGTTCCTAGTCCGGGAGTCGACGAATTTCCCCGGTGACTATACGCTGTGCGTGTGCTATCAGGGTCGCGTGCAGCACTACCGTGTGAAATACAAGAACAATCAATTGACCATCGACGACGAGGAGTTCTTTGAGAATCTGGCCCTGCTGGTCGAGCACTACGAGCAGGATGCCGACGGGCTGTGCACGCAGCTGACCAAGTCTCTGCCGAAACAGGGGAAACAGGACTTCTGCGTGGACCTGAAGGCGTTCGTCGAGGCCGGCTGGGTCATACAGACCCACGAGCTCGAGCTGAGGGAGTGCATCGGGAAAGGGGAGTTCGGTGACGTGTTGTTGGGCGTCTATCGGGGTGAGAGGGTCGCCGTGAAAATGCTGAAAGACAACAGCGAAGCGGCGCAGAGGTTTCTGGCGGAGGCAAGCCTCATGACCTCGCTGATCCACGACAATCTCGTGAAATTGCTCGGTCTTGTTTTCAATAATCAACACATGTACCTGGTTACGGAATATATGAGCAAAGGATCCCTGGTGGATTACCTGAGATCGAGAGGGAGGCTGCACGTTTCCAAGAAGGACCAGATCAACTTCGCCTAGTACGTAGAAAGCGCCAGGATCCGCGCCTGAAAATTTATGCTCCGCTAGGGAAACACGCGTGCTGTCACGCGCTGATTTCTTCGAAACTTTGCATACAAGGAGATATGGAAGTAGCTTGTGGAAAACCGTTTGCCGCGGTGATACGTGACCTATTTTCGGTGATGCCTCTCTCGTTCACCCTGGCACGTTCTTTCACTCATTTCCGACTCGATCGCGTCTTTCCGTTGTTGGGTAAATTTTACACGTATCGAGGGAAATACGATATGCTTTCCGTTCGACGTAGAATTCTCGATGAAAAGTTTGTCGATTCTTTTAAATTGGACTCGCCCCTATTTTTTTTGGTATTATTTCAAACGGTAATAAGTCAAGATATTTAAAAAAAAAGAAAAAAAAATTTTCCTGGTCTTGAAGATCAAAATTAGTTCCATGATTCCCTCAAAAAAATTAGCTGCACGATTTCTTTTCTCTTCACGAAATTATAAAGAGTTTAAAATATTGTATAAAGCTGCCGTACGAATCTTCGTTTGACTTTAATTTCAATTTTATATATAATACAAAACTTTAAGTTTAATTTATTGCGAGTAAATTTAATGAAAGACAGCTGCGACATTTCCTGTTAACTGGTGAGAGTTTCATTGAAATCAGCGTGTTACACTTTGCGCGAGTCCTCCCTCGTCAAAGGGATCTACTTTCAAGCATGTATTTTCGTTCTCTTTCAGCGACACGTGCGCGGGCATGGCGTATTTGGAGTCGAGGCACGTAGTGCACAGAGATCTGGCCGCGAGGAACGTCCTCGTTGCGGAGGACAACTCCGCGAAAGTGTCGGATTTCGGTTTGGCACGGGACGAAAATTTTTCTCTCGAGGGCGGCAAGCTGCCCATCAAATGGACTGCACCAGAGGCTTTAAAGCAAAATGTAAATATCAAAACTGCGGATATTACCGTATTCGATCGAGTACCAACGACCGTCGTCCTCCACGTTTATACTATCGCAATTTGCGATCTTCTGCTTTCAGAAGTTTTCAAATAAGTCTGATATGTGGAGTTTCGGAATACTCTTGTGGGAAATCTATTCCTTTGGCCGTGTACCATACCCACGAATCGTGAGTAGAATTTCCTATCCAGCTCTCCTCTCGGATTGTTTGCTTGTGCCGAGGTAAAAAATCCTGAATGATTTTTCATCATCCATTGATTTCAGCCATTAGCGGACGTTGTAAAGTGTGTAGAGAAAGGCTATAAAATGGAGCCACCTGACGGTTGTCCGCACGAAGTTTACGATATCATGAGACAAGTATGCGTCACAGTATATTTTATAATAGTTTACGTTATAAACGTAGTCATTAAATAATTGACATTCTTTATCAGGCATGGGACTTACAACCCGAAAAACGACCTACTTTCTACGATATAAAATTAGTGCTGGGTCAACTGAAAGCTGAATACACCAAAGGTGTAAATTGAAGAAGAGAGGAAGAATTGCTACTTATTATTCGTAGACTAATGTAGAAAAGACAAAAAAGAAAAAAGAAAAAAAAAAGAAAAAAAAGAAGAAGGAGGAATTAGCGTTTTCGAGGTTTTTAAAGTCAGAGTTGATGGTAGCGGCTCTAAATAGTTCTGCTAGGAAAAGCAATTTTCTATTGTACATTTTTTATTGTACAAAAAGTAGCATCTGCGTTGCTTGTATTTATTGTTACATTATTATTATTATATTATTATTATTATTATATTATTATTATTATTATTATTATTATTATTATAATATTATTATTGCTATTATTATTATTTTCATTTTTAAAGATGTTTTTCTTTTTTTATTTCTCGTTTTTCTTCTGCGAAAATACTTTGCATATAAATTAATATACATCAATCGTGCCTTTGGCCAAGTTGCAATTCTTGAACGGAAGAAGGTTCAACTTGTACATTCGAGATTCAGGTATTACTTCAAACGACATTCACAGTTCAATTTTCTGTTCTTTAATTTTCATTTTTATTTTTTGTTTCTCTTGCTTTCCTTTTCGTACACTTCTCCTTTCGTCGTCACGTTTTTTAAAGTCGGGCGCGGCAGTTTCTACAAAGCTGTCGAATCTCGCGCGGTTTTGCTTCCGAATGATTTCCGTCATTTCGTCATGACTCGAGGAATATTTCCAGGTGTAAGAGAAAGCGCCTTACATTGAACTGAATTTAAAGAAGATGAGAAATAATGTTATTCACTACAAATACCTATTACAAAGTAACCTTTTTGGACTTGACTTACACAAGGTTGGATATTGGAATTTTTTCACTTACGTCTAATAACGGTAGAGCAGGAAAAAAAAGTAACTAGATTTTTATCGGTCAACGGTTTGTCAGAGAGATCTTTGTATCGTATAGCGACTGTAGATTACAAGTACTTGTTAGTCGTATAAGTTTCTTTCTTTTTTTTTTTTTTTTTAATCAAAGATTTGTCGTAGAAAATATTAATTTTTAACTAAATTATTGCAAATCATTGTACACGATTATTTAAGTTATCCCCTGAGATATTTGACGATATATATTAGCGATGTAAATGCATTTGTAAATACTTTTGTACATATCCGATTGTCAGAAGTGGAAAAAAAAGGTATATAAAGAATTAATATTTCAAATAGTGCGCAGATCGATATTGGTTGGGAGATTTGACAAGAAGATTTGTTAGAAGATTTGTTTTTAGTTCTTAAGACGATTATTTTACACGGCTATCCGGACACGTGTCGCCACGTAGAAAAAAGAAGAAAAAAAAAAAGGAAAAGAAAGAAGGCAAAGAATCGGATAATTATATATTCAAAGTAATTAAATCGTAGACGTTTCGTGTTATTCTATCTTCCTTCTGTAATATAAGAGCAACCACTTATTTAATACCACTTTTTCCAATGGTTATAACGGACTAATGATATTTATTCGTAGAGGATAGGAAGTTTCGAGCGAAATAGAAAAAAAAAAAAAAAAAAAAACACCGAAGAGACAGTTTCTTGGTTCGCTGTGAAAACCATGAACGATTGGATATATGAAGTTTCTCTGCGTTTTTCGACTCTAATTTACATAATTTCCATTAGAATTACATGTACACGGAGACTTGTCGGGAAATCGAAGCCAATATACTCAGTTCCTCGCAACAATTTTGATTACTTGCAATAGTATTTGAAAGAAGAAACCGTCACGACTGAATCGAGCTTCGTAACGAACGATCATTCTTAACGAAAAAGATCGGATCTATTTCGCGAACGTACGTGTCTAGTTTGAATATAGTGAGTAGTGAATAAGTATGTAGCGTATTTATAAGCGTACCAGTCCGTTTATAATTTCGATAGCACGTAACATAATATACATATATACGGCTCTAATTCAGTACCTTAACGTTTCTTTCGACGATATTACGTTTCTCGACCTCTTTCGATTTTTTTTTTTTTTTTTTTCTTTGTGACTACACAAGGACGTTCATGAAAATGCGTCATTTCACGCGTCTAACGTAAATCCACATCGAATATCTGCGTTAAATATCGAAACCCTACATTTTTGTTCTTTTTTCCTCTCTTTCCTGTTATTTTACCTTCTTAAGCAGCATCGTATTTGCCGTGTGGTGTGACAAACGTTATCCCATAATTATCCTGTGTAATTTTAACATGTAAGCGAGACTTTGTTACAGACCAGCGTTAGGTTTTCATGAATGTGACCAGTGTGTTAGATTCGTTTATTTTTTACTTACGATAAAATTCGTTAGCTGGTAAGAAATTTAATATATATATATATATATATATATATATATATANTTAAATTTCTTACCAGCTAACGAATTTTATCGTAAGTAAAAAATAAACGAATCTAACACACTGGTCACATTCATGAAAACCTAACGCTGGTCTGTAACAAAGTTATTTAAGTAACATATATATATATATATATATTATATATATATATTGAATAACAAGTTATACGACACGAAGCGGATGAGTTTCGCTAAAGTTTGTCCAAAATTTATTGATTACCCAAAGTCACTTTCTTGATCCGTGTATAAACGACTTATATATTTAATATAACAACACTTCGACTATTTTCCTTTTTCGTGTCTTTATATTCAAGTTTTAGAAACGAACGACGGAATCACAGCGTGTGCATCGGGAGAATATTGGCGCGGGGTTTCTCTTTGTTCGGTGATTTTGACCAACCAATCGATCTTGGACAGACTATAGTTTCGCGACGCACGAATGTGTCTTGAGTCTGAGATTGTCTGAAGGACTGAATGTCTTTTCGCGTTGACGTGGATGAGTGTGACAATAGAGCAGGTGAAGCGAATTTACCTTTTAAGAGACTTTCTCATTCTGGCCTCCAAACAAAATAAGAAACAAACTAAGATAAAAAGAAAACCGCGAGCTGTACGATCCCGATGATGTTCAAGCGTTCCGATCTGTACGGATCGCGGTGTTGTTACTATACGCTATAACGGATTCTAAAGATTCTCTAAAGTAGACAAGCTGACAGATAGTTATAAATCGTGGTCCATATCGACCAGGCCGTCAAACGAAGTAAATTAACGGGAGAGGAAGATACACTGTATTTGCTCACCGTATTATAAACTCCACCTACGAGACAAACGTGTATCGAGTCGTCTGTCGATTACGTTCCCCTTTTCCTTTTCTCGAGGGAATCATTTTATACGAACGCGCAATGTTCACGTTTTCTATCTTAGACACGGGAATCGGGTCTTCCAAAGACTACCCAGCGATCGGAGAGCGATTCGTACGATGTTTCAGAAAAGTACAACTTTCCAACGGGAGATAACTAGGGTTTCGACGAGAGAGAAGTTTCATTTCAGCACAAAGGGAAATTTTGTAAAAGATCCGTTTGTTCTTATGTCATTATTTCTCCATTTAATCTCCAATGTTATACTTTTACTGCCAAACGCTAATAAAATCGTGATATTCGTTCAAAACTGTACCTGGTCCATTTACTTTCGTCACGCTACGTTTATTTCGTTGACTGTCACGAGAATTTCTACAAAATAATTTAATTACATTGCAATAAAATGTACATTGAAAGTACATTATATAAAAGTACATTTTATTATATAAAGTAAAAAAAATATATATATATAATAAAGCATATATTTATTTTATTATATAATAAAATAAATACAAAGTATATATTTATAAAATAAATATATATATAAATAAGGCATATATTTATTTTATTATGTAATATAAAGCATATATTTATTTTATTATATATATTTATAAAATAAATATATACGTAAAATAAAATAAAGCATATATTATGTCCTATATATTTATGTCCTTTGTTTATTTGCACGTAATTTAAAATATTTTTATTGAAATACTAACCTGCGTGTCGATCGTAACAGTCAACGTATCAAGAGAATCCTGTTGATTACCTATCCATTTCCGGTTGACGAATGATGAACACTAGAACCACCAATTTATAACTTTCCATGGAAATTTTATACATTCGTGACAATGTATTTTTAGAGATTTGAATTTTTTAGTAAAATGTGTAATTAAACGCTCGTATCTTTTATATTGCACTTTCTCCCTATTTCTTGCACTTTAACACTAGAACTACTAAAATGACCGTCGAATGAAAAATGAACATTTTTCTTAGATATTTTATAAATATAAAGCAGCGTGTTTTTGGAGATGATCTCGAATGATTCTTCGTGAACAAAGTGTACCCTATAGTGTCATAAAGATTTTCTGTTTCTTTTACTTTCACGCCTCCGATGAAAATTTTTACGCTTTAGTCGTCAATAGTTCTAGATTTGATACTTTACTCGTCAATAGTTTTCGTGTCAAGAGAAATAGTGGAGCAACTAGTACGTTTGCTATTCTGCTGCGTTACTGTTTCAGATTCATCGTTATTCGTTGTTAAAAATTCGTTACTGCGTTTACTTTTTTTTAACGATTCCACGTCTCGGTCAAAACTTCCCCCCTTTAAAGCTTTTTAATTCGTCCCGAGTTCTCGAACCCGACGTCCCAGACCCGGTCGTTTTATTTCTTCTCGATCGTTTGAACATCGTGAAAGGACGCGGACACTCGTGTCCGGAGATTTTCGAATCCTTCAGACGGCTCCTTACGAACAATGTTCTACGAGTGTGAAACGGCTGACCGAGGTTTCTTGATAATTCGCGAAATTGTCCCCCGACCAGCAGGCAACTCCTTTTCTCCTCGTCCACGATTATCGAGTGTCTCACGCCGCGCACGTTGTCACACTGTTCGCCGACGGAAGCTCGACTTCCGTCGGAAGTATCGCGAACATTCGCGCTCGACGGAAGTAAAATCGAATCGTCATTCTGGGATTTCGATTGTTTATTTCCTCGTCCATCGTCCGAGCGGCGATCGAAACCGAAATTCTCCTCGTTTTGCGTTTCGTTGCTCGGCAACCGGTTGAAATGAAAATTCGACAGGAAATTCGGATGGATATTGTTGAGCAACGCATTGAAAGAGACGAGTTGGTTCTCGATCACGGAGTATATCGCGTGGACAATGTTATTTTCCATTTTCGAATTTTCGCGACAACGGTAGGAACTACTTGTGTCGCAAACGATCTTGGAGGAGATTGATCCAATCTCTTCTCGATGGAATATATTTCCTGAGATATCGGCCGTTGTTGTTCCACCTGCGTTTGAACGTGCATGCTTCAGCGGTGGGAAACGCCTCAGTCCATTTGTCATTTTCTCGTCTATGGATAGCATTCGGTTGTCTTGTATTTCTAATGTTTGCGCGTTACGCCAAGTATACAGATCGTACATAATATAAAAGTATATTTCGTATCGTTCTCGTAAAAATTTTCTTTCGGATGTAGAAGCCGAAAAAGTATAAAAATCTTTTTTTATAATTTCATACCATTTCTCTGATCGATTTGGTAATATTGACTGTGTACACTATCCTGTCATTTAGTATTTGTTCACGTTTCTGTCATGTGAAAGCAATTGCTAAATATTTTAAATTAAAATAAATAAATTTCTTGCATATTTCGATATTTTCACTTTTTCAGTTGTGTTTTTCGCGAACGATGATATGTATCATAAAACATCTACTCACCATACGTTCGACGACTCTTTGGAAACATTTTCTCCGCAAGTGCATTTCTATCAATTTTAATTCCATTCTTCTTTCTCTCAATTTCATCATTTGTTTCAGTGCTCAAAGTTGATGCTAATTCACACTGTTGATCGCCAAATGTTGTAGAATTTTCCTCCTTTGAAAGAAGATACTTATCATCCTTGTCAGTTTCGTTTCGTCTATTAACATCCTTTGGAAAGTCATCCTCCACCTTTTCGTCGCATCGATTTTCCATCTTCTTCTCAACTACGCTACCTTCATTGACATTCCATCCCCAGAAATCTCCAAACTGCCTGTCGTACTCAACACGAGTCACCATCTGTACGATTTGTACGCTTTTTCCTTTTTTACCCTTCCTCGGTGTTTCGAAATCGGTGTCCTTTTTACTTAAGATGGATTTACGTGGCTTCGGTGCAATTGTGCGGCACGCTTTGTACAAATCGGAACCGTTCTCGATGATCGGTTCCTCCTTTATTGCCTCACGATCTCCTTCCTCAACTTTTTCAAACGAGGATCTAACATTCGAAGGCTCGACATCCTCAGGTTCCGGCACCATTTCCTTTTTAACTACCAACGCGTGATCTTGTTTACGTTCTGCCTTCTCCTGTTCCAATTCCGCTTTTACCTCCACTGTTGTGTAATGCCTCTGATTATCATCATCCTTATCCTCTTTCTTAATCTTCCTACGCTCAAAGTCCGTTTCAAACTCCTTTTTGATTAGTAAACCCGCATCAACAGAAGCTTCGGCGCTAATGCCCTCATCCTCGACGTTTGCCTCTTTCCAAGCATCAGTCTTGACACCCACCCCCTTCTTAATATCCACATCATTTTCAGTTTCTGTTTCAACGCTCAACTTCCCACCACCGTCCAACTTACCCTCCATATTTCCATCGTCGTCGTCGATCGCGATTGCCTGAAACTGTCCGCTATCGTTAGCAACCTCCTCAACATCGGCCGATTCTATCTCAGAAACTTGTCCATTATCCTTCTCCTTCTTCGTCCCGTTCTCCACGTAATCTCTCCCAGAAAATCCATCGACTTTCTCAACGATATGCGGCGCGAGTTTCACCGAGGATCCTCTCGAGAAACAACCGGTGACATTCACCATCACCCTCCCGTCCTCGTCAATTCTTAACCGAAGTTTTTTTTTATCCCCGTCGAGGCTGTCCTCCGACGAACTCTCCCGGCAGCTGCACGTGTCGTCGCTGGATTTCGACTCGATTCCCATCTCCTTCGAGGAAACGGCACCGTCCTCGCCCGTTCCCGCGTCCTTAGACGTGGTCGTTCCACTCTCCGACGTCGTGACTATTTGTTTCTCCCCTGTTTTCTGTCGCATCGTTCTCTGTCCTGGCTCGCAAGGCTTCAAGAACAGTCTCTTAGGACTACGCACCGCCTGCGCGAACGGATCCGGAGAGTCCAACATCCTTCCCTGCACGCAAGGCTCGAACAGCCTCGCCTGCGCGAAGCCGAACGTGCACGTGGACTCGGAGAACTGTTGGATGATCCTGGACGTGAGCGTCGGCCCGGGGACAGTGATCTCTCTCCTCCTGTCGAACTCCATCTCCACCTGGCGGATTTTCGCCTGGACGTTGCTCAGACGGGACTCGGCGATCACCTTCTGCGAACAGTACGGCGAGAAGTTGACGTTCACCCTCTCGTTGCATTCTCTCGCGCGCAGGGCGGCCAACAGCTGGCGCAGCTCGGCGTTCGTCTTCATTGAGAGCACCGTCGGATCTATCGGGCCTTTGCTCTCGATCTGGAACAGCACAGAAGATGGAATGCAAACGGGGAACGTGTTGTTTTAACGTCTCTTCAGGGACGAATTTTTAATTTTTTAATTTCAGTTGATTTTTGGCAAGTGAAGAAAATAACACGTAAAATCATCAAGTTTAACATTTCAGAATTTCAAAAAGTTATATTTGTTAATAAATTAAATATTATTAATTAATAAATATTAAATATTTATACTAATACAATAAATATTAATAAATATTTAATATAAATATTCAATAAATATTAAATATTAATATTTATTATAATAAATATATATTATAACAATATATATAATATATATATAAATTATAATAAATAATAAATATTTAATAAATATTAAATATTTGTATTAATATAATAAATATTAATAAATATTTAATATAAATATTCAATAAATATTAAATATTAATATTTATTATAATAAATAATATATATTATATTATAATAAATATATACTATAATAATATATACAATAATATACATTATAATAAATAATAAATATTTATATTAATATAATAAATATTAAATATTTATACTAATATAATAAATATTTAATAAATATTTAATTAATAAACGTTATATAATAATGTTGTATATATTATATATTATAATTAAATATTTATATATATTTATGTACTATATTTAAATATATATGTATTATAATTACATATTATATAATTTAATTAATAAATAAATTTATATTTAATAAATTAATTAAATATTTAAAATATTAATAATTAATTAATATTTATATTATTTTTGTAACGGCTTTGCGAGTGGATGTAGCTTTTTTCACAGGACATGTATTTACTAGAATTTTTGCTTTTGTTTTAACGAGTACTATTTATCCTAAAAGTTATGAACCCTTCACTCCATAGATTTGCTGCTCCCCCTCTTATCCAAAGCAAACGAACGGAGATCCTCACCTCGTACTCGTACCCCTGACACTCCATCACCTTCTTGTTGATCAGACTTTCCACCTGGGCCTTCAGGACGTTCACCTTTAGCTGCAGGAACGTGAGCAGCGGAATGATGTTCACCGGTGGGTTCGTGGTCATGTGAAGATTGATCAACGCGTTCGCCTGCTGCGCGTTCCTCGACTCGGCCAGCAGTTGCTGCTTATTAAGCATCCCGAGCGACTTCATCGCCTTGTCCATCGTGTCGTCCGTGCTGCTGGTCACGCTGGAACCAGGTATCTTCCTCAAGATCAGTCTGGTGATGGCGCACGAGATTATCCCCGGCAACGACAGGAACTGCGACGCCAACGCCTGCAAACTTATCGAAGCTGGACAGTTCCGTTTCGTGCAAACAGTGTCGTCGGTGGTGACGGTGCAATGATGCGGTTCCTCCTGTTCGTGAATACTGCAGCAACAGCCGAGAGCGTAGCTCTTGCCGTCCAAGCTGTGCTGCTTCTTCTGACAGCACGAGCAATCGCGAGGTTCCCGCCTGCCGTGAGTTTCACCTCCGAATTGGTTGAACACTGGCATGGGAACTGGATAAGGATAGAACGAGGGTGGACAGTGGATCGACGCTGGATTGACGTTTACCGGTTGTGCTGTCTGTTGAATTAGGCCTCCTTGGCTTGGACTGGTTTGCTGGTGGCAACCACCCGGCAGAATAAATATCGGAGCTGCGCTGCTTACGCAGCTGCGAATCTGGTCGAGCACGTTTGGCGGAAGAACACCGCAGTTGACTTGCGATTGTACGAGAGGGTTGTTTGAAGCGGAGTATGGTTGAAACGGTGTCGGATACGATGTTGGATTTCTTGGCTGATACTGGTGATTCGCCACGAACACGTCCGCTTGGTGCAATTGATAGAATGGTTTGAAGGGATCTGTGGAAGGTAGTTTGTAATTTAATTTAAAAGAAAGAAAAAGATACTAATAATCCGTCGTTGATGTATCTGTTTGGTGCAGTTGGTGGAATTGTTTTAAGGGATCTGCATTGATAATTTGTCATTAAATCTCTTTAAAAAATGAAAAGAATAATACTAGTTGATAGAATGGTTTGAAGAGATTTGCGGAAGGTAGTTTGTAATTTGATTTCTTAAAAAAAAGAAAGAAAAGATACTAGTGATCTATCGTTGTATCTGTTTGGTACAGTTGGTAGAATGGTTTGAAGGGACCTGGTGGAAAGTAATTTGTAATTTAATTTCCTTCTAAAGAAGAAACGATACTAATAATCCGTCGTTGATGTATCTGTTTGGTGCAGTTGGTGGAATTGTTTTAAGGGATCTGCATTGATAATTTGTCATTAAATCTCTTTAAAAAAAGAAAAGAATGATACTAGTTGATAGAATGGTTTGAAAAGATCTGCATTGATAATTTGCAATCAAATTTTGAGTAAAGAAGAAACATAGTAGTGATTCGTCGTTGATATATCTGCTTGGTGCAGTTGATAGAATGGTTCGAAGGAAGGATTAGGTCCTTTTTAAAATAAGGAAGATACGTCAGTGGTCCGTGTCTGATGTATTCGATTGGTACAATTAATAAGAAATTTGGAAGAATTTCCGTTGAGATGATTTGAAATTTAATGAGTTTAATCAAGAGTTAGTGTTGTAAATAATTTGAAATAAGCCTATTAATAATTATATATTACATACTTAGTTATAGTTATTAGTTAAATTAAAAATTTTATAACAGTACAATACATAAAAAAGTATTTTTATCATTATAATATTTGGACAGTCACTTCACTAATTCGGACAGAGGTATATAAAATTGAATAAAATTGAATAAAATTGAATAAAATTGAATTGAATACGTTCAGAGGTATATGAAATGTTTGCTCGCGAAGAAAGAACAGATTAACCTTAATATACCTTAATATACAGATATTCAAACAAGTGTGTCTTAAAACTCATGCTTAAAGTGAGAATTATTTTCGAGAAGTTATCTTTAAATATAAAGCTATCGGCGAAATAAAAAAAAAAGAAACTGATACTCGGGATATCTTAACGACTCGGTATACAAAAGAGATTAAAATTATCGCGGGAAGCAAGAAGACACTTTATCTGTGAAAATGTTGAAAATGGGCACGTCGTCGCGGCAAAGAGAATATTCATAAAGAGCGTATTGAAAATCGTGCAGTTAGATCCTGAAGGTTTTCGAGATAAAAACGTGGATCGGGACTGTAAAATAAAATTCTTTTATAGGACTTTATTTTAGGAACAGTCGATTCTCGAACGCTCGCTGTATCGTAATTCTCGCGGTAGAATTCTATTAAAGTAGAATCGACCATGCACGAAAAAGGAACCTCCCGGCCCGTCTCTCCTTTAACGTGAAATTTCGCGTGCAGTTTTTTACCGCATACTCAATTTTCGTCTGGCACTACGCATAGATAACAAATTAATTATTCAAAATAGGCAAATGGATGTGAATTTGAGATTTATGCGTTATTTAGCGCTCGAACGGTTTAACAGAAATTTCGTGTACGTAACATTCTTCGAAGTATGTTCGTGCATTTCTCTCTTTTTTTTTTTAAATGTCGAATATTTCCAAATATACGGCAAGAACATTATTGTCAATTTATTGATCTCCTTTGTCAATTTATTGATCTCCTTTCTGTAGTTTAATGAAAATGAAAATTGAACAGGAGAATAAATTCGACGACGTAAAACTTTGGAAAACAAATGTAGTACAACGAATGATATTAAGTTTTAGTTTGAATTTCAGTAAAATGAATAAAATTAATTTCATTTAATTAATATTATTAGTCCACTAAAAATCAAGTGCAACTGCCTGATATATTTTACGAAATATTTTGTGAAAAAATAGAGAATGAAATATTTCTACTCAAGTTCTTTAAGAAAACTGATTTTCAGAAATTGTGAAACTTGACTAACGATGGGAACTGTTGGTCATGTCGTCCATGGGATTACATGAAACTTATTGTAAGAGAGAGATTCTATTTCGAGGATATTGGAGATCTTGGAGAATGAAGTAAATCTTTTTTTCTTTTGTACTTTATTTCGTTCCACAGTCTCGATTTTATACGGTACCATAATTTGTACCATCGTTGCAACCACGTCCTTTAGGAATTTATATTATTTATTACACCATCAAACATGTTTCCATATTGAAAATTTATAAAATGTTACGTACCAAAAATATCTTTTACTTTGAATTGACCACATCTTGTACATTAGAAATTTCTCAAATTAATTAAAATATCATCCAAATCTTAGACTAGGAGAAAAGAAACTCCTTGTCAAATATATTAGAAATTAATAATTAACCAAAAAACTCTATCTCTCCTAAATTAAAGAAAAACTCTATTAAATTCTATCGTACATTCTAAATATTGAATTTTTATTCTCAAAATTCACCAAAATTAAAAAAAAAAAAAAAAAAAAAAAAAAAAAAAAAAGAAACCAATTAACAACTGGTCGCCAAAATAGCCACCACCTTTCACCCTGCGGGCGTTAAAAATTCACAACACCCACTGAAACGTCATCAAAAATCCTTCAAATTAAAAAAAAAAACTTATCAAAAATTGACGAATCTATTGCAGAGAGAGAGAAAAAAAAAAAGAAAAGAAAAGAAAAGAATCTTCTTCCAAATAACCGCAGTAGCAACCCCTATTCTCCAGCGAACCCCTATGTCGCGTCAACAGTTAAAAATTACCACATAGTGACTACACAGCGCCGGCGGCAGATTACAACGGGGAAAAACCTTCATTAGCTCCTCAAAGCGTTTCATTAAACCGAATCAACTCGACCGTGATCCTCGATCGCCGAGGCAATGTTTGCCATCGAAATTCCAACTCTCTCCCGATCAAATCGACACACATACACACACACACACATAAAAGCGCGCATCTGGACTGTTAATAACTTTTGCAACACTGGCCAAGTACCTTGCGGATTGGCCGGATAACCAGCGGTAGGGGTGGTTTGCATTTGTTGCGCGATCGTGTGCGGCTGTTGGAACGTCATTGGGAAATTCTGGCTCGTCTGCACCGGTACGTTCTGGCTCGGCATCATCGACGATGCGAACGTTGGACTCTGAGGCAGGCTGATCATGAGGAAGCAGGTTAAGTCCCCGCTTAAAGTCGAGCTCGTCTTCTTCGCGAGCTATGAACGGGGCGCGCACTGTTGGGCGGTAGAGCGCGAGAGTGAGTTGAGGTTGCTTGTTGGTGTTGGACGGCCGGGGCTTTCGTGGCGATTCTGTCACATGGAATTTTGAATTACGGAAGCCTGAAGGGATTGCCGGGTTTGCTATTGGTTTGCTATGGGTGACGTTTGTGCTGTTGGTAAATTCCACTTTGTCGTGGCGTGAAGTTGCAGCGACACCGACGTCGCGGTTGTTACCAGCTAGCTGTTTGAATCCGGCTGTGATTTACGTCGACAAGTGACTTCCGTTAATATTTCGCCCACGAAACGATCAAACTGCTATACTTTTGTAAATAAGAAACACGATTTACTTCGTAACCTCTACTTTTTAAAATATATAATCGTTCATTTTATTCTAAGAGTACGTAGCAGATGGCGAAGTGAAGATTCTTTTTTTGTTCTCGGACTATGTAAAAACATTGAAAAATTCTATTCGCGACTGAATTTACGATGGATTTGAAGATCGAAGCTTATCCTTCGCAACGACTCTTTAAAACTTGCTGTACGAGCTTTCGCTTGGCAATTTCTTGAGCTTTGAATATAACGATCAAAATGTTGACAATTTCTTGAATTTTCATCGTGTATGCCTGATATTCAAAGTTCGATAAAATAGCGAGAAAAGACCGTATATAAAATTTCCCTGAGTCATTATAAAGAAGAGACTTCAATCTTTAAATTCATTGTCAGTTATGGAAAAAAATTTTACATTTTCGGCAAAGAAAGTACCTTCACTTACTCATTCGCTGAAAAAAATCACCATTTTTCACGATGAAAAAACATTTTAAAATGAAGTGAAAGACGTATTTTAAGATTAGAGGCCTCGAGCTTTAAAATGAGCGCAGATTTATAACCAGATGACTGTTTTTCTACATTTGATTATAACAGTTCGAATGTTAATGGAACTCACTGTATGTTGTATTTTGGATAAGATGGATTTGATGATTCATGTTTATTTCACAAAATTCCTTTTTTCTTGTAATATCACACAAATAAGTTCGAAAATAAATATATAATATTAAGTATGTAATAAGTACATGTTCTCACGTGCTAAGGTAATTATCAAATTGCAGATTTTTATATATTTGTGAGAAATTACAGAATGTGCACAATATATAGCGTATAAAATATTAAAAATGACGTTTCTTTACATATGTTTACAAAAGTACAATTTTGCGCGTGTCTGATGAATGCCTTCGGCGTTAATATTTTGCGTCAAGCTAACTGCAATTCGATTTTACGATTTTCTTCACGAGATGCACAGTCATTCACGAAATCCTTCGAGGTTGGAGTAAATTTAAAAAATTTTACGAGCACTAGGCCGAGGAACCTCGCCCTCCTCGCTTAAATTCTAATTTGTAGACGCCGTTTGCCTCGCGAATCGAGCCCTGAACCGCAAAATACTATCCAAATTCTGTGCTTCGACTTTAAAGTTGAAGTGAATTTTCTACCGAACTCCTTCCACGCTACTTTGAGTTCTGAAAAAAGAAAAATAATCTTCGAGATGAAGACAAAATTTTTCTAATTAAAATTAAAAGTCGAAGCCCTCTTTTCCCAAGACTTTGCACTCTGTCGAAACTATTTTTATTGAAAAAGGAAGAAAGGAAGGAACGAAGGGAGAAAGGTAGGAAAGACTAAAAAGATCCAACGCGTTTTCGAACATTTCCACCGTTTTCCGTATCTCAAACATGCGAGCGAGTCTCCATTCCGATGGGATTACGAAATGAGTGAATTTCGCTCTTCGTGAAATTTGCAATAATATCAAGTGTCCGCAAGAATCAAGCACCGTGAATCGCTCAGAAGTTCAAATAGTTTCATCTGGTATTAAAATGAGCCAGGTGGGAGAGGGGTTTAAAACTTTTAAAGGACAAAGGACGAACTCCGTTTAGTTCGGGATTTACCAAAGTAATCACGTTAGAATTAAAATCACTTGTTGGAGCTTTTTCCCGTAGCGTCGTTACGCTGCAAAGATCCAACGTGAAACTCGACGAATCACTATCCAGAAGATTTCCTTATTATTATAATTGCCCTGTTCCCGGTCCTCGTTATCCGATCTTCCACCTTTGCTGGCGAAACGTTGAAACCGATCTCAATAATCTCGACGATCGAGTTATAATAATTTCAAACGACGAACCACCAATTCAACGTCAAGCTCTGTCGTATCGAATTTTCATAGAGATTTTTAAACAATCGAGGTCGAAAATTGTGTTTCACCATTGACTAAAGATAGAGCTCTTTGATCTATGTTTCTTGAAGGTATAGGTATCAATTGTATTTATTAATTTGAATGTATCTATTTATTAATTTATTAATTTGAATATATCTATATATTAATTTATTAAAAATTTGTTAATTTTATTTGAAAATTTATTAATTTAAATATATCTATTTATTAATTTATTAATTTGAATGTATCTATTTATTAATTTATTAATTTGAATATATTTATTTATTAATTTATTAATTTGAATATATCTATTTATTAATTTGAATATATCTATTTATCATTTTTTAATTTGACTATGTCTTTATATATTTTTGAAATTAGGGTAATGGCTTATAAAAGCATTCTATGGAAAGACGGTTTTTCCTTTTATCATTACGATAATTATGATTGTGTTGGCAAAAATTTGAAGTTAACTGTGAGAATATGCTCCAAAGATCAGTGAAGTATTTTTCAACGCGATTTTGAACGATGGATCGTCGATTGTGAATCTTTTATCGGAGAGCGAGCAAAAATACACATACGATTCAGAAAAATGTGTTTGGCCTTCGTGTCTTTTTTTATATCTTCATTTACATGGAAGAATGCCAACTAGTGTCTACTAACGTTAGATTACATTCACCTTGAGACCAAGTAAACAACTTGGTGGCTTTAACTTCTTTCAAGAATAATACAGAATTGCAAGTATTTTCATTGAATTTCTCAGTTTAAAATTATTTATCACGAACAGTCGAAATGGAGTTAATTAGATTCAAATCTACGAACTTTCGCGAGAAGCTAACAATATCTGTAATCAGACTGCACAATTTTACTTTTGCTTTTATTATATATATGTATATACTTTTTCAATTGTATCATGTCGATAAAAAAGTGCGTTCAGACATGAAAAATTTACTTGACCTTTGAAAATTTAAGTTTTACGTATAAATTGAATTCTATTGCGACTACAGACCTTGGCCAAGACGCGATAATCGTGAGCCTTGTAATAAATATGTATGATAAAGATGTTTACTGATTTATTACATTAACAATAATAACATAATTTATTACATTAACAATGATAATCTCTCCTTAGGTATAGCTTGAAATCCGATTGAGTGTATCGAAATTTACTAGTAATTCATAATGGAATACTCAACGAAGGAAAGATCGATGTGATGCTTATTTATAGCAAAAGACATTTATGG